CCAATGCTCGAGAAAATGAGCTTGTGCCCCTTCCAAAGGTGGATTCCGACCCACCTTCCACCGTCACAGGCAATTACAACTACACGGCAACGAACGCCTTCACTGATTCAGACTAGGCTGCTTCAACCTTGAAAGCAAGTCCTGCGACCGAGAACATACACACACACACACACTTACCACTCGAGGGTGTGGTAAGCAGACGCGTGCGTCAATCCGGAATTGAGCACCAATATCCTACTTTGCGACCTATGGATGCGAGCCAGCATCAATGACATCCACCTTTTCCAAACTTCCGACTAAGCTAAAGGAGAGGCGATTTCGCCACTATCCCGCCGATGCCAAATACAGTTCTACAAGTCAACACCTGACGACTCATTTCAACAACCACCTCCCTACAAACAAACACCAATTTCGTAAACTCAACCACAACATTTATCACTAAATCACACCACCAAATGTTGCCTCCAGCATAAGAGACGAAGCTCCAACTGCAGCACGGCTCCAGCGCCACACATGAGTGTCGAAGTAGAAAATGCGCCTCACATCTATGCCCACCTTGCGAGTTCCAATCTCTCATGGTCACACTACTGAGATGAGGAGAACGCTCACCAACCAACGTCGAGACATAGAGGCGGTAGTTAGGCGCCCCTGAAACCTACAGTCTACGGGTCAGAGCACTCAGTGAATTCCCACATCAACCCTCGCCCTGACACAACGCACAACCAAACTCGGACACCGACAAATAACGCACACACGCACATGCAGCAACCTATTGTCAAACGAGATTAAGAGCAATATGAATGAGAAAAAGTGACGTGGCAAAAGGACACAGAACCAAACCCACCGCGTCAGTTTTTGACACCTTCCAAAGACGCCTTAGGTCGAGAACCTTCTTAAATGTACTGGTCAGAGCGACGCAGACAATGCATCCCAAAACCGCCTGAAATGGTTGAAAAATGAAGACACTTATTACCTCCAACACCCAGTGGCAAATACTGACACGCTCATTGCTGCACATCGGGCGTAGTACCAATCCAACTGAAGCTATTCTTGCTATAAGTAGGCCAGAGTAACTTCTGAGCTCAAGTTCAGTCCGCACAACATTGCACACCGAGCACTGTCCTAATAAATCTTAACCAAAACTAAATTCGTAACCAAATTCATAGCATTGTCGTCGCCACGGTGGACTACACGTGAGGTTATATACGAAAGAACCAATGAACAGATATTCAGGAGAAAAAAGTTACCCGAGGCAGGGACTCCAGGTAAGGTGCAATGAAGAAGAGGATGATCACAAAGATGCCAGAAGAGATGAGGGACGCAATCTGTGAAAAAATAAATACCTTGTCTCAGTACCCAGTCATAACTATCACCATCTGCCACAGTCCACGACATTTCTTGCGCAGCTTAAATGTCTACCTTTCTCTCTACCAACAGACTTACAGGTAGTGCATTTGACAAAGAACGTACGAAACTGTACACACCACATCAAAATCCTCACGAAACACCAACCTGAGATGCCATGCCAATCGTGACTACAACGGCAGTACGACCCAGCGCACCACACGCAGTGTGGCATTGGAAAAAGGAGCCAAAGGTGTTGCTAATTCCGAGAGCCAGTAACTCCT